ACAGATATGTTCAAAAATAACTTTTTGTAAAATATAACATTCCATTTCACATGGCAAGGCAAAAGGACAAAAATAACACAAAAGTCTGGAAGTTCAGGTTCTCCAACACAATTTAGAAATGCCAAACAATTTGTAGAAGGTTCATCCTACCCAACCATACCAGTAGTTTCAATGAGGAAAATATTATCAGAGACCTGGGCCATCTCCAGAGAAGACCCAGTAAACATGACCATTGACTCCATACAAGTGAAAAATGAAAAGAGAGAGAGAGAAATGAATTTATCACTCATTTTCCCAGAGCCCAAGCAATCCCAATGGCTTAGCTCTGCCAACTACTTTGTATACTAAGATATAGTCATGTGTTAATAGAGAAATGTCAGCTGGGAAATAAGCTAGTGGAGAATAAATAGTGAAGCCTATTTAAATTTAACTTTTCTGCTTTTAACTCTAGGGAAATTGTTTGCTAGAACCACTTCAACTTTAACAGATAATTCCTGAAAGAAATGCAAATACTTTTGACAGGAGCTTAAGCAAATTTCTAATTACAGGACAAATTTTGTGTAAAATCCTCTACCCACCTGAATGTTCATTGTTCATCAGAAGACATCTCTCAGGACCAGTAAAGGGGGGTGGGGGGGGGGGGCTGGATCTCTTTTTGATTTCCAATGTTTTGCTTTAGTCTTCATTGTTCCTTTTCAGGTTTCCCAGACTGATGGACAGACTATGCTCATCTCTCTGACTTCTTTTCCACTAGTACTCACAGAAACTTAATGGCCAGTAGCTTCCCTGATTTGTCACCCAGATGGAAGAAGGTCCCAGAGGAAGCTCAGATTAAAACTTGAGGGCGTAAATCAGAAGTCTGGCTGGCTAAAGCATCTGTTCAACACTGGCCTTCTGCCCTTCTCATCATAAGGAGTAAGGGCTGTGTGTCCCTACACACATGGGGGAAATTGAAACATGGTGTCGTTCCTCCATGAAGTAATTTATTTCCTCTGGTGAAGGTATACTGGGAACAAAAGCAGGGCAGCCCCTCCACACTGGGAGTAACACTAAGACTGTTATACTTCACCCACTGGCCCTTGTCCACCAAAGTCCTCTAGTACCAGAGAGTGATCATGATGCACTTTTGTACATTGTACTCAAGGCTTTTGCTGAGAACGGTGCAAATATTTCAAATTCTTGTCCTTTCCTAGGTGAATTCTCCAAATGGAAATGCAAATGTGAGTCCCTATTTGTGACTTGCATTCAGGATGTCAAAGTTGGTCATCTAAGAGGACAGAGGCTGAAGTTTGAAGGAGACAGATACAGTGTGTAGTGAGTGACAGGGGAAAGGATGTAGCAATGTAAGGTTAAATTCCACTAACCAGCTTTCAGTCCAGAAAGTAAGTCATCACATATGCCTCTTCTCTCACTATAAATTCTTGCCTCCTCTCACCAAACCTGCTCTCCAACTTCAATTACATCTCTTCCCTTCTGTAGTGCCAATTGCCTGCCTTTCTGGAAAAGTATAACGTGAGGAGCCATTGGCTCCTGTTTTTAATATCGGTTTTAATATTAATACACAAATATTCTATACTCAATATATAACTGTTCCAAATTGAACATATAAAATGCAGTAGTTTTAACACTTGCTTAAAATAATTTAAGAACTCATATCCTTTACCCAAAAACTGTATCCTAAGAAATTAATTTGCAAAATAAAGAAAAAGCTTACATATGAAGCTTACATAACATCATAATGTTACTTATTATTAATAATAATAGAATGGCAATAGGAATGATTAGGGCATTCTAGCATTTCTAATAGAAATTTACACAGGCAATTTAAATGCTTACTTCTTTGACTATAGATCAGTTTAAAAAAAATCAGCATTAGTCCAGCACTGTTGACACATGCCTGTAATCCTAGCTGCTCAGAAGACTGAGATCTGAGGACCATACTTCAAAGTCAGCTCAGGCAGAAAAGTCTGTGAGATGCTTATCCCCAATTAACCACTAAACCACCACCAGAAGTGTAGGTGTGGCTCAAGTGGTACACCACTAGCCTTGAGCAAACTAGCTCAGGGACAGCACCAGGCTGTGAATTCAAGCCCCAGTACCCACCCTCACAAAGACAGAGAGAGAGAGAGAGAGGAGGGGGGAAGAGGAGGAGGAGGGATGGAGAGAGAAATTTGAAGTAAAACATATAGAAAGTAAATAATACAGCACAATTATAGCTAATCACAGAAAATACATCAAAGTGTTAGTGGGTGCATCTACCTTTATTTTGTACCTTTATATGTTCTTGTAGCCTCCAAAATATTTTAAATTCTATCATTGAGGAGAGGTAGCTTTAACAAAAGCAAATTTCTTTAGAAGGAAGAATTATTTGCATAGAAAACATCTGCAGTTTTTAACAAGTTCTTTTAGGAAATATACCATTTTCTGGAAGGGGGTCTTCAGTCAAGGGATATGGAGAACAAAGCAAGAGAAACTCATCCTGCTTAGAAATCTACACTGCTTCTCTATGAGTACTAGATCAGAAACAGATCACACATCTGACCTCTTCATAATCCAAACAATATATGAACACCTTCACTGAGCCTTTGTTCATCTTTTCCTATGGAAATCCTTTGCAGCATTCAGAGACTGACTTGAATCATTTCCATCCACTAAAACTTTCTTGATCCTTTGACTTTTCTGACTCAACTTCTAATTCTCTGTTCCCTTATGGTGTTGCTAGACTGCATCATCTTTTTCTAAGTAATTTTGTTTATTAATCCTATGTAAGCAAACATCACACAGGTATGCTTGAAGTTCCTTGAGACCAGGAATTTAAATAACCTGAAAATACTTGGCAAATGGATACAGTGACAGAGAGAAAACACAAACTAAAGCCAGGTTGGTATTATATACATCTCAATGCTGCTATCTAAATAAACCATGCCACTTCTATATTAAAATCTGTCACTAGGAACATGCACTTTCCTTTTCTTCTTTTTATTAGCATGTACTGTATTTTTGCTTATTCATTCTTATCAGTTCTGTTGCTTCCCTTGGGAACAACAGATTTGATCACAAGATATTTCACAAAGGTTTAGTCATACATAAAAATAAATAAATGCTAATCAAAGACTGACTTGAATCACTTCCATTAAAAAAAAAGTTAATTCTGTCTAGGAATCTAATTTAGGACTATACACAGGACCCTTTTTCTTCTTTGAACAACAAATTGAAATGTATTTCTTCATTTTATGTCCTTACTTAGGCAGTACACTTTAGTGTATTAACGCTACCATTAACTTTAGAACTATCCAGTGCAAACATTTTAATACTTCAGGGATGATGTACAAAATGACTCTGTTCCTGTCTGCCATCAAATACTATGCTAATACTTAGCAATAATGAGCACTTGTATTATAGCAACCTGCCTCCTGAGACATCAACAAGAGATGGCCTATCTTAAGAGAAAACTCTATAAATCATAAATGAAAATCAAATGATCCAGCAAAGAAGAAAGACCTAGCACCCATTATTTTTGCAGAAGGAGCACACAGAGTCAGTATAATTATTCACTCTCAAGAGCAGGGAAAAACAAATCCAGTTTCCCACTATACCAAACTACAGTTTACTATAATGCTTCTTTTTAATGAGACAGGTAGCTCTAAGAGTAAATGTTGGTCCAGATTTTTCCACTTATTGAGTGATCTTGGACCTTCTCTTTATTTAAGGTTCTTAATCTATAAAAGAGAGTTAGCACCTGCTAGAGCAAAGCACAAAGTTCAAATAACATGATCTGAGTCTGTCGCCCAATTCTTTGTTATTCAGTCTCTCACTCGATGAACTAGACGAATATTCTCACTTCAAATGCTACCTAAAGTTTAATGATAAAGATTTCTAGATTCTTTTTCTGCCCTGCTGATTTCTCCAGAACTCTGACTGCTATCATATCTCACTGCCAAAAATGTCTTCAACAACTCGTTATGACCCAGCTTTCTTATGAAGCGTTGACCAAACCGTATACTAGTTGCTTCCTAGAAATGCACTTTTTCCACATATTTCAAAAAAGCAGCCTATTTCCTAAAGCAGTAATTCCATATGCAGAAAGTTTACAAATTGTTGCTGTTGTTTGAGATTGCTACCATGAGAATTAATTCTATGTTTGCTATCTAGCGGCGCACGGCACATGTTTGGATGCCTTATTCCTTAATACAGTGGGGAAAGGTCCGTGGACTGTGGAGACAGGAGACTTGTATTCAAATCCTGTTTTTGACCTTGAGAATGTAACCTAACATTTCTGCTCCTTACTCCCCCCCCCCCCCCCAACTGGTTCTGGATCGTGAGGATTTAATGAAATACCATATATAAAATAAAAGCGAGTGGCTAGGATCTGAAAGCCTTATTGCCTACCTCCTATTTTTGCTCCCGGTGCTAGGACCAACCAGAACCCACCCGGAACACAACTTTGATAGGGCAGTCTTGCACATCTGGAGATGTCCTCTTGATGAGGATGCTGTGATGTAAAATCAAGTGGACGAGGGCAGGAACCCGGTGGAGTTCCCAGCAGGAAAGGGAGCTTTCTACAATGGTCCCCATCCCCCGTAGGATGTGCGGGGTGGGAGGGAGGGTGGGGCGGGGTGGGGTGGGGAAGCAGACACCGGTGTGACACACTTTGAAGAGCGCACCTCAGACTCGCGTTGGTGTGCTCTAGGATGGGGGAGGGCGGACGCACCGACGCGCCGGGCCCCCCGGTCCACGCGGGGACCTCCACCTTCCTTCCGCAGCCTGGAAACTGGGGTGGGAGCCGCAACTGACCGCGTCCCCTCCCCTCCCCCTTCTGCCCCAACCTCCCCGGCGCCCGCGGTGCTGAATCATTAGCCTCGGAGAGCAGCAACCCTTTCCGGGCGCCCTCCCGGGAGCTCGGTCCCCGGGACACTGCTGGTCCAGGATGGAGACCGAGATCTCGGGGGCGCGGGGTCGGTGGGAAGGGGGTCGGGAGGATGGCGGCAGCAGGTACTCACGGGCGAGGCAGCCCAGACGCGTCCTCGCCTCCCGGCTGCGACCGCCCCTCGGCGGCTCCCGCGCTCCCCGGCGCCCCGGCGGTCGGTTCCCGGGCCCCCGCAGCCGGCGCCGGTGTCTCAGGCGATGCCCCCGCCCGTCCTCCGCCCGCGGCAGCCACCGTCAGGCTCCGTCGCCCGACCCCAAAGCAGCTGGAGCAGCTGGCGCTGCCCAAGGGGTGGTGGCTACCGATGGGCCAGACCATTCGCCCGCCGCCGCCGGGGGTGCGCGACGTGCGGGGAGGCGCGAGCGTCCCGGACGGCTGCGGGGCTCAGCACGGGTGGGAGGAACCAAGAAGGAGGGGGGAACCCTCTGCCCGATCCGCGCGGGAAGGGCTGGGCGCCGCGGGGACCAACCCCGGAGCCGCTGGCCTGTCCCGGGCAAACTGCTGAAGGCCTGGCGTGCAGGTCCGGGCACCCCCTCCCCCGCGCGATAGCCTTGGTCCCGCTTTAGAACGCCGCAAACAGAGGACCTGGCAACCCGAGCGCCCCGGGCGGGGTCCCCTCTCCAGGGGAGATGCGAAAGGGCACTGGCCCGCCCCGGCGCCGCCTCCCCACCCCACCCCCACCCCGTGGCCGGGCGTATTGGGACTAGGTGCGTGTGTTCTCACCAAATAGTGAGGCACCTCAAATCTTGAGGGGTCACCTTGGATCTTGGATCTAAGCATCCTTTCGAGAAGAATTATATATATATATAATTGGGGTGGGGAGGGGATATCGAAGGCCAGCTTGAAATAAAAAATGAAATCAAATCGGGTGGAGACCATCCGTGCATTTGGAGAGACATGGTGCTGAATCAGAGTTACTGACTTCAGCAAATGCTGGGCCACAGCAGTAGGAAACAGTGGTGTAAGGACAATGCTCGACAGGAAATGTACTCATTGCCTTACTCATGTAACTGACCCCTCTGTACAGCGTCTTTACAATAACATAAAATTAAAAAAAAAAAACCGCAACGGACAGACCTATAACAGATGGAAGAACTCCACACCTATTTGCCTGGGTTGTTCACTGTTCAGTGTCCAGGAACTTGGAGGCAGTCAGTGCTTGGGTGACATGAACTTGATAGGACTAGTGAACGTTTCCACTCATGGCACCCTCTGGTCCTTGTCATTGTCACAACTGCACTTAACACAGGTTTGTTTCAGACCACGCTGAAGGTTAAAAACACGTGCAGTTTTCCTTGTAGAAGGGAAAGGTGGAATATTGTTAACAACAACCACCTTTAAAATGTGATTCATTGGAAGAGGAAAAGACCTTCCAGTTGCACTCCAGCTAGTGTCATAATTTAATTTACTGCCCACTTCCAAACAAATCAACATAAATGAAGCATGGCTACTGTGAACTAAATATACTTAGTGTAGTTTTATTGCATCTCTGTGTGCTTTTATTAAATGAGGAAAATCAACTCAGGTTTTGTGGTGGTGGGTTAAAGTCTCATCGATTCTGAGCATCAATGCTGACATTGGCTCCAAAGCAGACATTGCCTCTTGGACTTTTTTTTTTGTCAGCCATGGGGCTTGAACTCTGGGCCTGGGTGCTGTCCCGCAGCTCTTCAGCTCAAGGCAAGCACTCTACCACTTGAGCCACAGCACCACTTCTAGTTTTCTGGTGGTTAATTGGAAATAACAGTCTCACAGATCTTCTTACTGGGGTTGGCTTTGAACCATCATCCTCAGATCTCAGCCTCCTGAGTAGCTAAGAATTACAGGCCTTAATCCCTGGCCCTGGACTTCTTAACAAGTGCCTTTCTGCCAAATGGCTGCAGGAAAAGCTACACCATGAGCTTTATTGCATTTATAATTGCATCCAGATGTAAGTTTTAAGTTTCATGGTGGAAATAGGGGTTCATTCCCTGTCCCTAATGTAGACATCACCCTGGGGTACAAGTAATGATTAAGAAGTGGCTGAATTTTTCCCGGAGCTAGCCTGAAACTTCAATGTCAGAATTGCACTCTTAGGAGCATGTGAGAATAGGAAGCAATTGACTCCACTGCCTTTGTATTGGGCCTTCTTATGCTAATGTTGCATCATTTATGCCTGGCATTAAAGTCTAGTTATTATTAAATTACACTTCATCATTCTTCCAATCCCAAGAAGGTAGGTTTTTAAGTGAATCTACTACTTGATATAACTCACTAGTTGTTGGGGGTTGTTTTGTTTGTTTGTTTTTGTTTTTTCCATCATGGGGCTTGAACTCTGGACCTGGACTCTGTCTCCCTGAGCCCTTCAGCTCAAGGCAAGAGCTCTACCACTTGAGCCACAGCCCCACTTCTGGTTTTCTGGTGGTTAATTGGAGATAAGAGTCTCATGGACCTTCCTGCCCAGGCTGGCTTTGAACCACGATCCTCAGATCTCAGCCTCCTGGGTAGCTAGGATTTACAAGCATGAGCCACCAAGCCCCAGGCCTCACTACTTTAAAGGGGGGGAAAGTAACAAGGTAACAGGGATATTAACAACTCACATCACCTCAGGAAAGCTTTTTCAGAAGTCAAGAGTAGAATTAATTTGCTTCCATATGGTGTGCTGCTGTTATTGTTAAGGTCCACAGTCACCACAGCATAACAAAAATCCCCAGAGTTCCATGTTGCCAAGGAGTCAGAGCACTGACTCCCTAGAGATGGAAGACAACTGCCTGGGGCCAAATGGCCGCCCTCTGATGTGTGATCTCTCCAGGCACACTTGGGTGCTTTATGGAAGAGGATGAATGGTAGGGCTTTAACAAGGGCTAATAAGGCCTTGGGTGGCCCATCTAAAACTAAGGTGGGACTTAGAATTTACTATCTATGAAGCTAATGGACTGGTGCCACCTCCATTTTTATACCCGGTGGTCTTGGTACACATGTTTCTGACTAAAAAAGAATTTTTGATAGAGGCTTTGTGAAGCTGTCAAAAGGAATGAAGGGAATAGCATGGTGCTTATATGCTCTTGTTTTCCCAAAAGTCTTCAAGTGATTTTGAGCCCTCTAGAGATAGGGGGTAAGGCAAGAGACTGAAGGATTGATTTCAGAACAATGAGTTTGGATTTCTTGAGTCTTGTATCAGTGTGAATGGCATAGAGTTAGAGGCAGTCTGCCCGTCTGCCTCTAACATGAGTGCAGCTTTGATACTAAGGAGCTGCACCGTCCTTCAAGAGCCAATTGTGAACACTGGTGGTTAGTACAGGGGTAAGCATGGCTGACTGGAACCACAGAGCAGTAAACAGTAGAATCGCCTCTGAGCATAAGAAGGTTTCCTGAGGATTTCCTATGGGAGCCCCAGTTGGGAGAAGGATAATGATTAATTTTTAATCTTATTGAAACATAGGTTGTTACTGTTGATTCACTAATATTCAGTGATAATACCTGGGAACATTCAAAACTATGACTTTCCAGTGATATAATAAGAGAATAGAAAGAATTCGGGTGTTTTGGTTCACACTAGTAATCACAACTATTCAGGAGGTAGAGTTTGAAAGTATCAGGGCTTGAGGCAGGTCCAGGGGAAAATATTACTGAATACCATCTCAAAAATAAGCTGGGCTGGGCACCAGTGGCTCACCCCTGTAATCCTAGCTACTCAGGAGGTTGAGCTCTGAGGATCTCTGTTAAAGCCACACCAGGCAGTACAGTTGCTGAGACTTAATCTCCAATTAACCATACACGAATACATACATACACACACACACACACACACACACACACACACACACACAGAGAGAGAGAGAGAGAGAGAGAGAGAGAGAGAGAGAGAGAGAGAGAGAGAGAGCTAGAAGTGGAACTGTGACTCATGTGATAGAACATTAGCCTTGAGCACAAAAGCTCAGGGATCATGTCCAGGACCCCTGAGTTCAAGGCACTAGATTGGCGCAATTAAAATAAAACAAAACAGACATGATTACATCTGTAATCCTAGCTATGGAGAGGGATAGATATGAAGATGGTAGTCCAAGTTTTTCCCTGGACAAAAGGATGAGACTCTACCTAAAATATAACTAATGCATAAAAGGACTAGGGGCATGATTCAAGTGATATAGCACCTTCCTAACAAGCACAAGTTCCTTTGGATATCTTTAGTTCAATCCCAGAAGCAGAAAGGGAGTACTTTACATGTCTAATAAAACTTCATTGTGACCCTCCATGTTGAACATCTGAAAATAAGTCAGAGGGTGACAATCACATGATCCCAAATATTCTTACTGAGGATACTAGGAGTGTTGTTTGTATTTGTTCACTTCCAGCTAGCATTTACTGTATTTGAAGTAGGTACTATTATCATGTGAAGAAAATATTAAGCTTATTATCTAGGTTATAAAAATCAAGACTTACAGTAAACTAGACAAAGGAAAGTAATGTCAATACATGTCATTGCTCTCAACTCTCATTTCTTAACAAATTATTTGTTAAGAGTTAGAACCTAAGTGGTAATTCTCCCCATGGAAACACTGGGGTCTCTTTTGTACGTTTCTGTACGCAGAAAATAAACATGGAAATAAAAATAATCATTACAGCACAGCCTAAAGTTGACCAGTAATTCCTGAAATTATGCTGCATGTTTTATTGTAGGAATTATAAGGAATAAATCGAGAAATCTAGAATGAAGATAGATAGATAGATAGATAGATAGATAGATAGATAGATAGATAGATAGATAGATAGATAGATAGATAGATATCTTTCTCTATATACTTTTTCCAGAACGTGGACTTGAACTCAGGGCCTAGTAGTTATCCCTTAGCTTTGTCACTTGAACCATAGTTTCACTTCCAACTTTTTGCTGCCCAATTGGAGGTAAGGGTCTCAAGCACTCTCCTGCCTAGGCTGGCTTTGAAGCATGACCCTCAGATCTCAGCCTCCTGAGTAGCTAAGATGACAGGCTTGTGCCAGAGGCACCTGTCTGGAACCCATATTCTCATGCAGCTCCATAGAGATTAATGCACAACAAAGTTTTACCCAACCAGGTAGGCAAGAGCAATGCAAAATCAGATTATTGGGGGTAGGAAAGAACCAGATGCAGAAGCAGAAGAGAAGTTGGGGAGGTAATATGAAGGAAATACTATGCGTGTGTATGTATTATGTATTTATGTATGCACACATGAAAGGC